CAAGCCGAAGCACCATATTCTAACGTAGGTCTCACATAGCTGGTGTAGGTTTTTTTCAGGATGTGGTGATTTGCTCCCCAGTCTGTTCCTGCCAGTTTCCTCATTAGATTAAGTCTTTTGATCCCATTACTTTGTGTGTTTTCTATTTGTTTTCTCCAGGTAAGTCGAGTGTCAAAAGTGACTCCTAGGTATTTGGGGTGGTCATTTTTTTCTAGCTCTTGGTTTTCTAGGGTAAGTTTCATTTTTTGATGTTTAGTTGATAAGGTGAAGATTGAATGAGTTGTTTTCTTGGTATTGATGGATAAGCCCCAGTTTTTGGTCCATTTGCCGAGCTTGTCAAGTGTTTCTTGAAGACGAAATTTTGAGGTACCAATATATTCCTCTGTGCTGATTAGTGAAAGGTCGTCTGCAAACATGCTTCTTTTTACTCTCCTTGGGATGTTTTCATTTAAGTCATTTATATAAATGAGGAAGAGAGTAGGAGACAAGACTCCTCCTTGAGGGACTCCATTTTTTATAGTTACTGTGTGACTTCTTTTTCCTTGCATGGAGACTGATGCTTTTCGGTTGCTTAGGTAACCTTTTATCCAGTTTAGCATGTTATGAGATACTTGATGGTTTATTAGCTTTAGAATTAAGCCTTGCTCCCAAACCTTGTCAAAGGCTTTTTCAAAGTCGACCCACACTATTGAGGTTGGTTTTTTTTCTTGAAAGCCATCTTCTATTTCCTGAGAAATGAAGGTGATTTGGTCTTCAGTAGATCTGCACTTCCTGAAGCCTGCCTGTTCGTCTGCTAGTAGATTGTTCGATTCTAGAAACCAGGTCAGTCTGTTGTTTACTACTCTTTCCATCAGTTTACAAACGCAGCTTGTTAAACTTATTGGGCGATAGCTATCGACTTTGTTCCTGGGTTTTCCTATTTTTAGAACAGGTATCATGATTGCTTTTTTCCGAATATTTGGGATTTTCCCAGATTTCCAGCTTGCATTAAATATTTGGAGCAGTTTTTTCTTAGCATTGGGGCCCAAGTGCATGAGCATATCATTTGAGATTTTGTCAGGGCCTGGAGCTTGCTTAAGTTTGAGGAGCTTCATTGCTTCTCCGAGCTCCTTCTTGCTAATTCGAGCTACCATTCCAGTGGAGGAGGGGGGAGAGACTTTCTGTAGTTTTTCTTTAACTTCAGTTTGATTTTTAACCTCTTCTACTCTGGCAGATATTTATTTGTCCCACTTTGCTGAAGTGGGTTATAAATTCTTTTGCTGCATCCTTTTCTGTTTTGATCGTGTTTTCAATGTCGATGACTATGGGAGTAGCTCTGTTTTCTTCTTGGTTTAGCCTTTTTGCAATACTCCATAGTTTATGACCATCTCTATCTACATTGAGGTGTTCTGTTTTTTCTTGCCAGCTTTTCCTCAATGCAGTTAGATACTTTTTTCTAAAGACTGCGTTTGCTGATTTTAATTTTATGTTATTTTCTACAGTGGGATTTTCTTCAACAATGTTTCTAGCATCAATTGTCTCGTCATGGAGTATCTGGAGGTCTGGAGTCCAGTTTGGGATATAATTTTTTCTTGCTCCCCTTGGAATAGATTTTTTGGCTGCTAACAGAACTGCTTTTGAGAAGGCTGTGTATGACTTGTTCACCTGTTTGGTTTTACAGTTGATTGGTCTTGTGTAGGAGTCTGTGAGGGAAGAGAAGAGCTCCCAATTAGCTTTTTTGTAGTTCCATCTAGGGCGGGGGTAGGCTTCAATTGGCCTGTTTGATGTTTCTATCTGGATCAGGATTGGTCGGTGGTCGCTAGTGGCTAGTTGATCTGCAACTTCTCTTTTGCATTTTTTGGATATGCCATTAGTAGCAAAAGCTAGGTCGGGGGTAGTCGTGGTGTCACAATGTTTTTGTGTGACTGGGTTCACGCTATAAATTTGCCACAGGCCTTTTCCCTACCTTTCATCTATCACATGCGAAATTACAAGACGAGCCTTCTTTTACATTATACACATATTTATTTTGTCTCCACATAGACAGCGTGTACAGCCAACTTACGCCATGTTCTCGTTCTCTCCTTTCTTCCTTTCTTCCCGCGCATGCGCACACACCACAGTCTTTCTGATGCAATCCCAAAACACACTCCCAAAATACGATACAACAATGTTTCACTGTTATACGTGGTTAACCAAGACCTTGAGTAAAAAAATTGGTTTGTCATCAGGTTTATTTAGAAGGATGAGCCTATTTTCTGCTTGCCATTCTTCAATTTCCTCTCCTTTAGCATTGAGGTCAGGGTAACCCCAGCTCTGGGAGTGGCTGTTCATGTCTCCCACAACCAGGCACTCTTCGCTGTTTGGCAGGGAGATGCGGTCCAGTTCCAGGTCCTTATCAGGAGGACAGTAGCAATTGAAGATATTTAGTTTACCTTCTGCAAGTATGAGTTTGGTGCCCATTATCTCAGATGCTGTTGAGTTTGGTATAACGATATCTGTTGTTGGAATGTCATTTTTTATGAGAATGAGGATACCTCCTTTAGGTCTGTTTTCCCTGTCCTGCCTTATGCAGGTGTATCCTCTAATAGAGAAGCGAAGATTGTTGTTGAGGTGAGTTTCTTGAATACAAGCAACGTCTACTTTATTTTCATGTAGGAATATTTTTAAGGCTTCCTTTTTTTTATGAACTCCCTCTGCATTCCACTGCAGGATAACAAGTAATTTGTTGTTTTCCTCACTATTTTGGCCAGTAGAATTTACCTTCTGATCCTTGCCCCTGGCTGGCCAGGCAAGAATAGAGGAACCACCAGCTCGCTTTTGTGGGCTCCTTCGAGGCGGAGAGCCCGGCCCCCTACCTGCGCAGCGGGATTCCACAGGCAGGACGCCACTTCTGTTAGTCCTATTTCTTTCCTCCATCATAAAATTAAGCAGTGCGTGCCAGCATGTTATGCGCCATACTGGATGGCCCGTTGACTCCGACTTCAGCCTGCTTTTCTTTCTGGATTTGCTTCCATAGCCTTTGATCACCCAAGAACAAACTACAAGGCAGTAGCTGTTTGATTTTGGAGTTGTCTTTCCTAGATGGGTTGCTGTCCCCTGCTCACGAGCCCCATCTGCCCGGGTTTGGAGTTATAGCGCCCCATGCTCGCCGTTGAAGTCATTTCCTTGGATTTATGAGATGTTTTTTATTGGATATCCTAACCAATGGATATCCCACCTCATCCTCCATGACCACAAACCAGTTGGTCCACGGCTGTTTATTTGGTATTCACAGCTAACCCTCATATCTAAGGGCCTCTCCCCTATCCGCCACCTGGGGACGCGCTCGGTAGGAGATGGTAGCTCCCCCAAGTAATTAACCCTTAATTGAACCGATAAAAAGCATAATTCTTCTATATATTTTGCAGGTTTTCACCATGTTGTCACCCCCCCCCCCCCCCCCTAAATGGTGTCACCCGGAGCGGTCCGCCACCCCCCCCCCCCTCCCACGCATCGTGACACCTCTTGAAAGATTGTTATAAAAAATACTTAAAAAAAAACTTTTTAAACAACCACGTTTTTCTTGCGGACTAAAAAGTAGAAAATAAATACGTTCACCATCAAATTTCCCGACCGATCTGCCCGACCCACGTTTTTTGTCATCAAATGTATGAACAGTCATCACAAGAACCTGCACAGCTCGAGGAAGCACAAAATCTACGAGCAGTCATTGGTAGATCCCCTAGGGTCGGAAGAAAAATTTATTTTCTACTTTTTAGTCCGAAAGAAAAACGTGGTTGTTTAAAAATTATTTTTTTTTTAAAGTATTTTATTTTCTCCTTTTTAGTCCGTTGCTACACATGAAAAACGTGGTTTTTTTTAAGTTTTTTATATAGTTTATTTTCTACTTTATCTAATGACTTGATTAAGTATGACTTGACTAAGTGTTTTTAAAACAAAAAAATTTAGAGGATTTTTTATCAAAATAAATTCTATGTGGGTGTGTTTTGAAGTTAAAACTCGTAACTTAAACTTCACTGATTTCTAATAGCGTCTTTCAAGATAAACGCCTTCCTAATGATGTCGCAAATTTGCTTGGCAGTGCGAGACCCACAGCAGCCTACATGCCGTGACCAGGATTCGAACCTGCGCTCACATTTATTGGGGCCGAAGTAACTGTGTCAATAGGCCTCCAGTCTTGTCGGTATCTTTAGAAATCATGTCCTCAATTTTAGGGTCCTTGGGGCGTAATTTAATTAAGCTAATTTAGGTCTCTAATTGCTAGTTTTTATAATTGCATCTGAAATTGTTAGGCGAAAATAGCCTGCATGCCGAATTTCAGATGTCTAGAGCAATCAGAAGTGGGCTAATTTTCGTTGTCAATTTTAACAACAAACCCACAAACAAACAAACAAACGCGAAGCTGAGTTAAGAAAAACGTGTTAAAATTGTCTGTAACGGTTCACATTAAGTACTGTCTTGATATCCAGCACACATGCATAACACACACAAACACACACATAAACACATTTTTTAGTTTACTTTCACACCACAACTCATACCACACAACACGCCCACGTGACCCCCTCTACCCCACCACCCCGGTCAGATCCGTCGATCATATCAATCTGCTAATATGGTGTGGATGGAAAAGCAGTTACATAACTTGCTATCATCGTAACTATCATATACTTAATCTAACGAGGTTAGATGAAATAAAAAAGTTAGAAACATTTTGTTAAAAAACAACAAAGTAGCCTATGTTCATGTCAATCACGTCCAATGTTTATACACGTAGACACCCGGATACCAGTTAGCCTAGTTGGAACACTGACTCGACCCGTGCCAGAATTTTGCGAGTAATGTCATACGCCGAGCCGATAACAACTGGAGCTGTGGGAGAGGGCGGGGGGTGGGGGGTGGGGGGAACCCGGATTTCCCTAGAATTTGTAAAAAAAAAAAATCTGAAGTTTCTAAGAATGCTGAAAAACAAGGCAAGATTTTATCAACAATTGGCTCCGTTTTCCAGACCGTGGTAGTATAAATCTGAGGAGGGTGAGCTGTTGCGTCGCATACTCCAAGCAGACGCCAACCAGCGCTTGCGATAGCTTTTATGACATAACCATATAGTCTTGTTAGCTAAAGTTTCAAGGTAATGCGTTACACTTTGTTATGGTACTAAGACGTTTCCCATCGGGATCGCTGCACGATTCTTTGGAGTTCAATAAACCATCCTTTTGTTCCTGAAGATGTCTGTCGTTGCTCATAAGGAGCATTGGTTATCGAGCATTATTTTAAAAAAAATGAACATTATTATCTTTATCGATTTGCGATTAAATAAACTCTCAAAAACCACAAATATTATGTTTTCTCTACAGATAAGACTCTACACTTGAGCTGCGTATCGCGAGGCTCTAGTCAACAACATGAAGACATACGTTCTGGTCACGCTGATGCTATGGGCTGTACTCACCATTGGTAGGTTCTACACTTGGCGCTTACTGTTTAAAACAATTAGCACCAGGCTATTTTTTAACATTGGAGACCAGCTTCGATTTAAAAAAATTAGCACCAAATTGTATTGAAAAGATTTCACTGGCAATTTTTCACACATTATTCGCTGACGTATTTTCATTTTTACTTTCTCGTATAGTAGAGTACAGAGTATAGTAGAGGAAGTATTGTAATTGTGCACAAAAATCACATGAAATTATGACAGTTTACACCGTTTTTAGGGACAAGCTTTTATATAATTATGCAATAAAAGGAGAAAATAAATAATTTTCTTTAAATATAATATGAACCACTACTTAAATAACTAAAAAATAAACCGGGAGTGATCTCCCCTTAACTTTCTCGAATATTCTTATATAAAACAACTGAGGATAGAAACTCGGGCTACAGACATGATCTTTTAATCCATTTTAAATACTTAAACTTTTTAAAATATAATAGAATCTCATAGAAAAAAGAATTGCGCACCAAGCGAACGCCAAATAAAGATGTTCACAATAGTGCGCAATATTATTAGTTCTTTATAAATTTAAATGCGTTTTTTGAGAAATCGGAAGTAGCGTAAATTACTACTTCCGGTCAACGGAAATTACTCAAATTTGAAAGAAGGTAGAGAATTAGATCTTTTACTTATATGTGAATTTTCATTTATCTATTTAAAATAGTACTCAAGTTATTGAAAAATTCAAAGTAGAAAAAGTACCACTTCCGGTTATCGTAAATCGCTCAAAAGTTGATACGGATCTACAATTTTGATAAAATACATATATATGAAATTTCATCAACCTAGCTGTAACGGTACTCAAGTTATCGTGTTTACACACAGACACACAGACACACACAGAGACACACAGACAGACACACAGACATACGGACAAGATTGCAAAATTATGTTTTTCCGTATCAGTGAGGTGTAAAACGTCGAGATTTGTAAAAATCTCGATTTTTTTTTTTTGCATGATTACAAGACTTTCTCTATACTTCGTATATACGAGAAATCAATAAAAGCGTCGGTTGCTTCTTAAATTCTGTGTATAAGTATTGAATACATAATATAGCGAGCCACGCTTTTATTTTTAGTTATTTCAGTAGTAGTTTATTATAATATTTAAGGAAACTATCGAAATCAAGATTTCCACAAATCTCAAGGTTTTACAAATCCCTGAGTCGGAAAACCCTAGTTTCGCAATTTTATCCGTGTCTGGTTGTGTGTATGTGTGTGTATGTGTGACTGTGAACACGATAACCTGAGTACCATTACAGCTAGGTTGATGAAATTTCATTTATCAGTATTATATCAAATGAGTAGTTCTGTTTCAACCTTTCAGCGTTTCCTGGTAACCGGAAGTGGAACTTATTCTACTTTCGGTTTTTAAAAAGCATGTAACTAGAGTATTCTCCCTGATAGATAGACGAAATTTCACAATAAAGTAAAAGATCTAATTATCCGTAAGCTGTCAAATTTTGATTAATTTTCGGTGACCGTTAGTGGTACTTTACGCAAATTCAGATATCTGGGAAAAAAAAAACGCAAATGAATTTAATTTTAACTTGATTCCTCTGCCTTTTGTCGTTTGTCATGGACAATAATTTTCGCGAGCAAAACTCCTAACACTTCTACCCGACCGGATTATTTTAAACTTTTCACGTAGGTCAAGACTAGATGACAATGTATTTTGACATAAAACGTTACTTAAATAGAAGCTTACTAACATCTTTGTTAATTAATAAAGGTATTTTTAATTAAGTACTAACGTTCCGCACTATTATACACACTTAATAACATCTTTGTAAATTAATAGTTTTTTTTTCATTACTAACCTTCCGCACTATTATACACACAATGTTTGCAGTTGATTTGTTATGCAATTCTTTGTTCTTCGAGATTCTATTTTAAAAATTAAGAACTCAAAAATTATTTTAAAATTATGTCAATATCCGGGGTTGCCATCCCTCATAGTGTTATATAAGAATATTCGACATAGTTTATTTTTAATTCGGTTTATTTTGTGCAATGAACTGACTCTTTATATTAAATAATGTCTTACGAAAAGGTAAAACAAAATCCTGGAAGTTTCCATCAATGTTTAATCCTTGGAAAAGTCAGAGCAGTCTTACCAAACCACAGTTTACACCAGCCCACAGGACATCTTCAATCTTCAAACCGAAGACATCGCTGCCATCGAGAAATATTTTTCAAAGCTCCACGGCAACCAAGGGAAATAGCGCCCAAAACGTCAGAAGCAACATCTTTGTCAAACCAATGCCTAAAACTATAACTATCTTAAGACCAACGCCCGCTAGAAGTATTTTCATCCAAAAACCGACAATAGCACCGCAAAAAAACTTGAACACAGGCTTCAGCAAAGACAAGACCAGCCTAAATGTGGCCAAAAGTTCCAGATCGCCCTCGAATAATGTGGCCCCTAGAGCAACATCATCCACAAGACCTAAAGCTCCAATAAAAAACGTGGCCATTAGTACCGATGATCACACACAAAACTTGGCCACCAGCCCCAGACCTAACACACGAAACTCGGCCACCAACCCCAGACCGACGCAAAGATTGGCCACCAGCCCCAGACCTACCTCGCGAAACTTGGCCACCAGCCCTAGGCCTACCACACGAATCTTGGCCACCAGCCCTAGACCTAACACACGAAACTCGGCCACCAACCCCAGACCGACGCAAAGATTGGCCACCAGCCCCAGACCTACCTCGCGAAACTTGGCCACCAACCCGAGACCGACGCAAAGATTGGCCACCAGTCCCAAACCTACTTCACGAAACTTGGCCACCAGCCCTAGACCTACCACACGAAACTTGGCCACCAGCCCTAGACCTACAATACGAAACTTGGCCACCAGCCCTAGACCTACAATACGAAACTTGGCCACCAGCCCAAGACCTACCACACGAAACTTGGCCACTAGCCCTAGACCTACCACACGAAACTTGGCCACCAGCCCTAGACCTTCGACGCAAGACTTGGCCATTAGCCCTAGACCAACCTCGCGAAACTTGGCCACCAGCCCTAGACCTACCACACGAAACTTGGCCACCAGCCCTAGACCTACAATACGAAACTTGGCCACCAGTCCCAAACCTACTTCACGAAACTTGGCCACCAGCCCTAGACCTTCGACGCAAAGCTTGGCCACCAGTCCCAAACCTACTTCACGAAACTTGGCCACCAGCCCCAGACCCACAACACAAAGCCCAGCTCAAATCTCGACGGTAGCTCAAAATCCTAGTGGGATTAAAAACAAGATAAAGCGGGTATTCAAAAAGTTACCTTTAGGTTTCATGACAGGTAACCGATTAGACTAAATTATTGTAGTTAATTAAGCCACGTTTTTAGGTAGGCCTACACCCCAACCGCAATCCGTTTATATATGAATAATCTTAATGTACACACATTTCAGAATGTGGTCAACATTTGACACTGTGTCTAATGAGTTTCGGCATCAACAGAGCTATTAACAAAGGAGAAAATAAAAATACCTACTGCGAGTAAGTGAAAAATAGCGCAACACTTTATAGTTGTTAAAGAACCTACACTAACCCTGTAAGCATAAACTAGTATTCTGATTTACCTGAATGACTTAAAACCTTGTAAAATATGCGCGATTTGCATTTATTGTATGTTGTGTTATTTCAATCTCAAAAGTGTTTCGGACAGGAATGCGGTTTAACAAGCGGTCACTAGGTGATTGAGTAGTTGGATAGTCAGCTAATTAGAATGGTACAGGACAAAATATCTAAAAACTCCACTAAGTATATTTTAAACAATTAATAGAGTGAAATACTAATATATTTTGCTAGGTTTTCCTAAATGGGCCGATTCCTTTCAGGCATTATTGCGCGTCTACTGCCCCACAAAATTTCACGGGGCTTTGTGGCTGGTTTATGATAATTCTAAGTTAATTTTACCCCTGGTAAACAAAGAGGAGGTCGATCCGTATATCTTCCTTTATTTATTCGCGAAACCGGGCCGATTTCTAAATTTTCAAACCTACAGTAAGTGTCCGAAAACCCACTGGGATCTCTGCCTTATACACACACACACACACATATATATATATATATATATATATATATATATATATATATATATATATATATATATATATATATATATATATATATATATATATATATATATATATATATATATATATATATATATATATATATATATATATATATATATATATACGTTTATTATAATTAAAACATCTCTCAGTTTAGAACTTTATAATGTCTTTGATACAAATAAGTCTCAAAATTGTATTGTTTTTATTGCAAGCTTTTATTTAACACACTCCCTCGTCAGTCTGTCGTCAGTCTGTCGTCAGTCTGTTGTCAGTCGTCCGTCTGTCTAGATCAGGGGTCTCCAAACTACGGCCCGCGGGCCGGATGCGGCCCGCGAGGTCCTCTAATCCGGCCCGCGGAGATCTTTTTGTCCACGGAAAAAAACGTTTGTTGGTGATGGCTGAGGAACTTTGCCCAGAAAAATCAAAGACATGTCTAGAAGAAACTGGCCCCCGAACTGAAATTTGATAGTTAATGCGGCCCTCGGACTGAAAAGTTTGGAGACCCTGGTCTAGATCGAAATGCAGGTACTTGTAACTGACATATACGGTTCGTAGTTGGTACGTGGGTCAAGACATGAAGACAATGCAACATGACCTCAAATATGACTTAATTGGTCGCCTGATTAATTTTTTATGAATTAATTTGTAAAATTTCCAAATTAGTAGGCTGTCTCATCAAACTATAATGCGCTATTAGACACGCGTAATCACGTTCAATAGGGCGTCATCACGTTTAATAGGTGCGCAATGGTTTTAGTCATGCACCTCTAGTGTAAATAAAACATGTAAAGTACTAAAAAAATTCATAAAAAACATTTTAATAACAAGCTTTTATGTAATAATGCACTAAAAAGGAGAAAATAATGTATACACTACTATTTAAATAACTATAAAGAAAAGCGTGGGTCTCTTTCTAAATATTAGTAAAGGTATTTAATAGAAACTAAAGTGACCCACGCTTTTCTCTATCTATAATAATAGTTTAGCTGTCTGTCTGTCTATGTATCTATCTATCTGTGTATGTATCTGACAAGAACGCTCTAGAGAAAACACAAGCAACTTAAAAACATGCACAGTGAGACGGCAACGAAATATGACGTCACATTTAGCATATAGTAAAAAATCATCTCAAGCCGGAGAGTGCAAACAGTAATATGACGTCATTGATTCTCGAGTAAACATTGAATTTAAAAAGCCAATTTTGTCTAATCTAAGTGGTTTACGCGAAGAGTTTCTTTCATACAATTCTTCGGGTAGGGTCGAAGCCCCATTCCCGCGTAAGAACGTCTAAACCCCCTCCCCCCTCCCCAACTCAAAAGAAATTTCTTCATCGATACTCTATAATAAAATTAACGCCTAATTAATGTATCTAATCTAAAAAGTGGTTTGCGTGCAGAGTTTCATGCAATTCTTCGGGTAGTGGCTAAGCACGACACCAGTGTTTCTTTCAGACTTTTTCCTCCCCGAAGGGAGGAATTTTTCTAATCTAAAAAAAAGTGTTTAGCGTGCAGTTTTTTCATGCATCTCTTCCCCGCCCAGGTTCTTCCTTTAGTTTATATGATCTACAAATGCGACCAGTGTTTCTTTCAGATTTTTTCCTCCCCAGGGAGGGGTAGGGGTAGAATTTTCTGGGAGGGGGCGGACACTGGAAAAAGTATATAATTATATTTCGTTGAATGGGACGGTAGACATGTTTTGGGGTGTGTGTGTTGGGGGGGGGGTGCGAAGCCCCCTCCTCCCAAGTAGAGTTGCCTGAAAGAAATTCTAAATGCGACTTTTGTCATGAATAAGATTAGGTGCATGGTTTTGACTTTTGGGATATGCCTATGACTATATTTTGTATAAATTAAAGTACCGATTCTGGATAAAAATCCGTTTTCAATGTCGTTTTTCGTTTCCGGTTAAATTGAACGAAGGTGGTGATTTTGGTTTTGGTTTTAGTTTAGAGAAAAGAGACAGCACTATCAACCTAGCGCCCGTTGTATCCTTCCTTAACGGGCCATTTTTCTGGTAGTTATTTAAATAGTAGTGTATAATTTATTTTCTACTTTTTAGTGCATTATTACATAAAAGCTTGTTATTAAAATGCTTTTATGATTTTTTTTAAAATCGTGTTTACAGACAGACAGACAGACACACACACACACAGGCATACGGACAAGATTTTAAAACTATGTTTTTCCGACTCAGTGAGGTGTAAATCGTCGAGATTTACAAAAATCTCGATTTTTACTTTCTCGTATATACTAAGTATTGAGAAAGTCTTGTAATCGTGATAACTCACTGATACGGAAAAACATTATTTTGCAAGCTTGTCCGTATGTCTGTGTGTCTGTCTGTGTGTCTGTGTGTCTGTCTGCGTGTAAACACGATATCTTGAGTACTGTTACAGCTAGGTTGATGAAATTTCATATATAAGTATTTTCTCAAAATCGTAGATCCGTATCAACTTTTGAGCAATTTACAATAACCGGAAGTGGTACTTTTACTACTTTGAATTTTTCAAAAGCCTATAACTGGAGTACTATTTCAGATAGATAAATGAAAATTCACATGTCAGTAAAAGATCTATATCTCTCCCTTCTGTCAAATTTTGAGTAATTTCCGTTGACCGGAAGTACTAATTTACGCTGTTACCGATTTCTCAAAAAAAAACGCATTTAAATTTATAAAGTACTAATAATATTGCGCACTTTTATGAACATCTTTATTTGGTGTTCGCTTGGTGCGCAATTCTTTTTTCTATAAGATTCTATTCTATTTTAAAAATTTTAAGTATTTAAAATGAATTAAAAATCATAACTATATCCCGAGTTCCCATCCCCTGTTGTTTTTATATAAGAATATTCGAGAAAGTTTAGGGGAGATCACTCCCGGTTTATTTTTTTTGCACGATTACAAGGCTTTCTCTATACTTCGTGTATACGAGAAAGTAAAAAATTGCATCCAGATAGATGAGTAATGAGAATTATCGCAAGTTTGTGTGTGTATGTGTATTTGAGCGTGTTTGTGTTTAAATGTGTGTGTGTAGGCTACATAGAGAGGTTTGTTTCATCCCCATTTGTGTATATTCTAGTAGAAGAATAAATGCCGCTTTACCTTCTAAAATCTATAGAAACATATCCTAATTCCTAATATATAAATCCCCACGTTCGCACATCTCTCTCTCTCTCTCTCTCTCTCTCTCTCTCTGTCTGTCCGCAAAAAAATTTCGCCGGACATCACGTCAGAATCGGCAGCAATATATCGAGAACTTTTTACGGACTTTTGTTGAAAATAATATGTTAGATGTTTTAAATGTATAACCACAATTTTAGTTAAAGAAGAAAAATAAAAAATAAAGGCGTATTCGAATGTAGAGAAACAGTATTATTTATGCAACCGGAAAAGCATTAATACATGTGAAAAAGAACGCATAAAACTGTGACGTCACTATTGCTTATACATTAACTAATGACGTCATCTGCCGTGTTTCGAATAAAAAGAAATGAACTATTTCATTCAAATTTGATTTAGATCTACGTACACTATGAAATGTATACAATACAATTTATCCGGCCTAAACTCATAAAATTTATTTTATGTATTTGGATTCTAGATCTAGAGATTCTAGATCTAGACTAAATCTAAATCTAAATCTACGCAATAACTAGATCTAGACGTAGACGCTAAGATCTAGATTTAGACTCTAACCTCTCTAAAATCAATTCCAAAAATAAATTTCTATATTAGGACTAAACTATTTCAAGACTTATTTATTTTATACAAAATCTTTGTTTGGAACTGGCTAATTTGGGATAAAAAAAAATTAATTTGAAAGAATAGGCATATTCGTGTAAGTTAAGATTTTAAAATACGTATTTCATTCTCTTGGTTAATGAATTTTTTTTTATTATGCTCGGGCTAAACTTAAAAAAAAAATTCTTTTAGGAATCTAGATCTAGATTGTCGGGTGTCCGATAGGGCACTTCCCGGCGCCGCAGGCGCTTCAAATTTGGCAGGACCTTGCCTTGGGGCGACAGAACACGGGGGCCGGTTGGCCGAAAAGTCTACGATGAGGGGGTCAAAACTGACATCGACTGACCGGTACCTTATATGAGCTATAAATTTTTAAAAAATGTCCACGGAGGAACCTCTTCATAACTCTTGAGGTCGTAGACCGACCCTCGGGCGAATTAATTAAGCATTCAAATTCTCAATGTTTTCGAAAGCCTAAGCGAAGCTGGGCAGCATGCCTAGTACCAGAGGCGTATCCAGGTTTTCGTTGTAGGGGGAGCGGAAATAGCAAAAAAAGGCGCCGAATATGTAATATTTTCTATATCAGTATATATATATATATATATATATATATATATATATATATATATATATATATATATATATATATATATATATATATATATATATATATATATA